TTCTGGTCTGGAGGAAAACTAAAGTCTGTTAATGACTGGAGAATGTAGGAAACGTATTTATGTGTTCTATTTTCAAATATCAAAGGAAACTCAATCATCCTGTGACTGATGATCTCAGTGGAGCTTCAGCAGCTTTTCATCCTGAGGTGCTTCATTGATTATGGATCAGTCTGCGGTTTATTCCTGATCGATAACTGAACATGAGCAACATGTTTGTCAGTGAACCTTCCATCCAACCACTAACTGGTATTTTGGTGTAAATGTGTAGTCTTGAGTAAAAGTACTCAGTTACTCTCCTGCTGCTTCTCGCTGAACCGATCAGTCGATCAATAACAGATTAACTATGATTGATTGTTTCAGTCATTTTCAAACAAAAACTGTGAATTAATGACAAACATTCAAACTTAAAGACACATTGAAGGCATTTCGAGGATGTTTTGATCCTGGACGGACTAAATAATGAATCGAAGGTTTGAAAAGTAATCTGTAGAATAATCAATGATGAAAGTAATCAATATGTTTCAGGCCGATGATACCGACAGGCCGAACGAAGCAGGAACAAAGGTTATCGCTCTGCCCTTTAAGCAGCGTCCACGTCCTGCCGCCGCCGCAAACACCGAGCCGGCACCAAAATGGGTTTTTGTGAAAGGACGGCTTCAGCTGCAGAGCCGCACACACACACACACACGCACACACACAAACACACACACACACAAACAGACACACACAGATTTGTTATTACAAAGACACGCATTCATCCGCAGATGAACTGAGCCGCCGAGCTGCTCGGTTCATCTTAATCAGCCGAGAGACGCAGCAGCATCCTCCATCGCTGCTGCTGCTACACAAGTGTGTGTTCAACCTGCACACACACACACACACGCAAACACACAGATACACAACAGACACACACACACACTCACACACACACACAGAGATATACAACAGATACACACACACACAAACACACAGACACACACAGAGATACACAACAGATACACACACACACTCACCTGAGATAATGGAGGCATGCCTGAACTCCTCGGAGAAATGGATCGGCTCGTACGGAGACGTCTCGTAGAACTCTTCCCCTGAAAAACAGCGGAGAGGCTGGTAAACAAACAAACAAACAAACAAACAAAGCGGCGCTGACACACCTGACCATCTGGACGTTCCTGAAAACTACCTTCAAAGTCACAGAACAAGCTGTTTGTGCTCCGCCAACACGCCCGGGTCTGCTGGGAAATAATCAGGGAGCTGGAGTGGAACTGAAACTTCCAGAAGTTAGAGAGCCTTCAGTTTCCTGTCGCTACATCTCAGCTGATAACGGAACAGAACCGTCTGCTGCAGCGTCGCTGGAATAAATCAGCCGGTCGGTTCTGATGCAGGAGGAAGGAGGAAGTCTAACTGAACTGATCAGGATCACAGGAGACTCTAAAGACGGTTCATGAGATAAAATGTGACGATTAGAAACTAGTTTCTCCTCACAGTGGATCCTGTCTACAGATGGTTCTGGTTCTGGAGGTAAAACGGTTCTTCCATCGACTAGAACTGGTTCTGACCCACCACCATCACACATGCTGATATGAGCCTGGAAAGTTTACCCAGAATGCACTTTGTAAAGGTTCCTCTGGTGACTGATCAGAACCAGAACCACATCCAGGGTACCACTGATTGTTTCTGTGACTCTGTGTCATAGACATTAAACTGTTACCACGGTGATCCATCCCATAATACTGATGCTACCAGCTGCTGGCAGAGCACATGAACAGAACCAGGTCCAGTGTTCAGACTGAGACACCTGGATGGATGTAGAACTGACCTGGTGTCAGGTTCTACCAGAACCCAGATGCATTCTTTTTTTTGTTTCTTCTCATTTAAATAAAAGTAAATAATCGTGTAGCTTCACAGTGAGACGCTGCAGAACCTCTGACTGTTAATCAGGACCTTATTCACAGTTTGAGCCTTGAAATTAAAAAAAAACATGAAATTAACCCTTTTTGATGAGATTCTATCAGTAACTGTAACATAACAGGAAAATCTCTGAAACAACAGCAGGTTTCTTTATTTAAAATTACATTTTTAAAGCTGTCTAGAACCCGTGCTGTCGGTGTGGTGAAGGTCTGCAGGTCGCCACATCTCCAGCGCTTCAACGAGGATCAGTAACTGATGGGAGGTTCTCGTCCTGCCTGCAGCTCCACCAGCAGCTTCTACGTTTCATCTGCTGAAGCCGAGGACGTGTTTCCTCTAACGAGAACAGATGCTGACGGAAGACACGTTAGCGCAGGAAAACAAAGGCGTCGCATCATTACAGCCCCCGCTGCCTGTCACCACATGCATGTGGCGCATTAGTGTCGCTGTGTGGGAGAGCAGCTATAAATACCGACATGCTGCAGCTGCATGCGGCGCCGCAGAACATGGGAAGTTCTGCAGAACGTTCCACGAGCTCTGAACAGAGGAAACTCCTCAAAGCTGTCACAAGCAAACAGGAATCACAGTAACGCTGCT